GGGGGGGGGGGGGGGGGGGGGGGGGGGGGGGGGGGGGTGAGGATATAAAAAAGGGCGTAGTATGATTTTTTATGTAAAAAGAAAAGTTTTTGTGCGTCTTGTTTTTTTTTAGAAAAAAAAAAAGAAACTTCCTTTGAAATACATGTATTGGCGTTTGGATATTGTGCATTTTCCACTCTTCCATGTGCAAGTTTCATTCGTTATATGGCTACAACTGAGTATGAGCATTTATGAGCCTCGCTGTCAAAAGAATTGAACATGACTTGACACGAATAAAACATCTGACTACTTGCCACGCACCAAAACAATGAATGCTAATTTGAATGCTTATTATTAGAAGAAAAAAATAATAGAAGGAGAAGAAGAAGAAAGGACTACCAGACCATTTATGCTGATGCTAATAATGTAACATGATTCTGTACTGAATAGATGAAAGAGAAGAAGAAAAGACATCGACACTGTCGTACGGATACACGACTACCATTGACTCGTACAAAGGAGGGAAGACAGGAACCGAAATGGGCATGTTAGCAAAAAGAGATGAGAACAAGGGCTTTTTTGTAAAAAGAAAAAAAATTGGCATGAATAGACAAGAAAAGAAGAGACGTGTAAAGAGAGAGAGAGGAAAGAAAGAGTAGAGAAGAGAAGAGAAGAAGAAGAGGAAGAAAGACGTGTATAGAAAGATTGATCAAGAAAGAAGAAGATATAAAGGGGGTTCAAGAAAAGAAGGAAGAAAAGTATGATAAAAAAGGAGAGAGAGAAAAGAGAAGAAAAAGCAAGAGAGAGAACAAGAGAAGAAGAAAAGTCGATGGAGAGAGAGAGAGAGGAGTCGAGACATGTAGCATGTGCAAGACGAGAGAGATGGATGTGCATCTGGAAAGAGATCACCGACAGTGACGGAACCACTCAAGATCAGCCTCTACATCGGCCAACCTGAGCAGATCCCTCCCGACCCATCCGTCAATGGTCTCGGCAATGGCCCTGAAGCCAGGGGTATGGTGGCCGGCGGCCGAGGCGGCAGCGGCGTGACCCAGGCCGCAGGTGACGAACAGGAAAGAATGGATCATCTCGTGCAGGAACGTGGCGATGAGCAGACGACGGCTGTACCTCGCGTCGCGCAATATGGGTGCGCTGAGGACGATGAGCGTCTCCCAGCCGCCGAGGCCGGTCGATCTCCGCAGCGCAGTGGTCCCCACGACGTGCGCCTCGTATCTGGTTTCGGCCGACGACGATGACGACGACGACAGCGACGACGACGAGCATGCCGTCTTCGACGTCGACTTCGATGTCGAGCTCCAGTCCCACGTCACGCGACGGGATAGACGGTTGGCGAAGAAGAGGGCGTTCGCCGCGCCGAAAAGGCTGTGCAGCGCTGCGTCGTCGAGCGAGTCCGGCTGGTGGTCCTTGGTATATGACGGCGGGGCAAAGGAGGAAGTAGAGGTAGAAGTACAAGTAGTAGTGGTCGAAGTAGGAGTGGGGGTGGTAGCAGAAGAGGAGGAGGAGGAGGAGGGGTGGAGGGGGTGGCGAGGATGGATGAGGGATCGCAGGATACGTGCCGGTTGGGAATCCCGTCGGAGGGAGAGGACGTGAGCCCTCACCAGGTCTGCCGCCTCCTTGTCCGTCAGGCAGTCTTCGCTGCTGTCGTGCGTGTACAGCTCGTGCAGGAGGGCAGAGCAGTCCGTCGAGGAGGAGATGTACAGTCCCGACTCCGTCCGTTCCATGGTCGGTGGGGGTGGAGGACCCCGGGGCGGTACGGAGACGACTTCAACCGGACGAGAAGAAGAGGCCGGGGGCGGGTGGATGGGATGGCGGGTCGGTTGTGGTGGTGGTGGTGGTGGTGGTGGTGGTGGTGGTGGTGGTGGTGGT